GGAGGGGAGTCGAGTGCATGCTCGCACCATCGACCACCACCACCCATCCATTGCCGCTTATCGCCGTCCAGCACAGCATGCCCATGAACACTGCGCAGTCCATGCCTGCAAGTGGCCAGCGGATAGTCGCCTTTGCCGGCATCCGCTCTATGCATGCACCAGTCAGCCAGAATGTGCTGGATCATCATCATAGAATAAAATGAATACAAAGCAGTGCCATCGCCATCTTTGACCATGTACATCGCGAATAACCGCGTACTCAATCTGTGACCTGCCTGTGCGGCCTTCGCTGCATGCAAAACAGACGCAGACGAGGCAAAATGCTCACTACAGGGATCGAACCTGTGACCTTGGCGTTATTAGCACCACGCTCTAACCAGCTGAGCTAAGCGAGCTTGTTGAAACTACATTACTTCCAATTCCCGCGTGGTCCCCCACCGCAGTACTACGGAAGCGCGGCTTGGCTTGACTTCGGAGATCGGACGGGATCCGGTACTTTTCAAGCGCGATGAACGTAGTTGAAATCTGGGCTTGTTTTTGGGCCCCGCCCAGTCCGCTATTCTCCTCCGATGGGAAAATTGGCCTCCGACCTGCTCCGTATTATTAGCAGCATGTGCGCGCGTTCATAAAGCTAGTACATGCGCCTTCTATGCGTTGCAGGTTAATTATAACGCTTTGGCGATGGCGCAACGTGCTTGGCAGCATGCAATGAGCGCGCACACACACGCACACTCGCACACACTTGCACATACACACACGCGCGCACACATACATACATACTGCTCTGTGTGTGCGTTCATAAAGCTAGTACATGCGCCTTCTATGCGTTGCAGGTTAATTATGACGCTTTGGCGATGGCGCAACGTGCTTGGCAGCATGCAATGAGCGCGCACACACACGCACACTCGCACACACTTGCACATACACACACGCGCGCACACATACATACATACTGCTCTGTGTGTGCGTTCATAAAGCTAGTACATGCGCCTTCTATGCGTTGCAGGTTAATTATAACGCTTTGGCGATGGCGCAACGTGCTTGGCAGCATGCAATGAGCGCGCACACACATGCGCGCAGACACACAAGCACACACGCGCACACATACATACATACTGCTCCGTGGACGCGCGTATAAGGAAAAAGAAATGCACTGTGCACGCGCGCGCGTTGACCAACAGCGACTTCAGATACACATACCATTATAACAAAGTGGCCTAGCCAAAGTCGTATAAGAAAAAACACACACATATATAAACGCGCGCGCACACACATATACTGCTCTGTGCGTGCGCGTGCGTTGACCACCGCCGCCCTGATCATGCGGTATATGTAGTGCGCCTCTATACACGAATGAGGACAAGTCTCTATGGGCCACAGAAGCATAAACAATAAACCATGATTCTGCATGTATGCATATACGTGTGTGTGTGTGTGTGTGCCAAGTTATTTAATCATTTGAAGCAGTTGCGCAATGGCTATATGCTGCACTGCCATCGTGCAATGATGGCCACCATGCTTGCACACACGCACATGCACATCCGCCTCCACACAAACAACAACCGCCACCACATCATCATCATCATCATCATCCGCATCCGCGCACATGCCGAGGGAAACACAAAGGCGCACACGCGCATGTGCCGGCAGCGGCCGGTGGGCTTAGAAGCATTTGCGATGCACGATCGACGGGCCAGACTCGTCGTACTCCTGCTTCGAGATCCACATCTGCTGGAAGGTCGATAGCGACGCCAGAATGGATCCACCGATCCAGACAGAGTATTTACGCTCTGGCGGGGCCACGATCTTGATCTTCATGGAGGATGGCGCGAGGGCGGTGATCTCCTTCTGCATGCGGTCGGCGATGCCCGGGTACATGGTGGTGCCGCCCGACATGACGATGTTGCCGTACAGATCCTTACGGATGTCGACGTCGCACTTCATGATGCTGTCGAAGGTGGTGTTGTGGATGCCGGCCGATTCCTTGCCCAGCATGCTCGGCTGGAAGAGGGCCTCGGGGGCGCGGAAGCGCTCGTTGCCGATGGTGATCACCTGGCCGTCCGGCAGCTCGTAGCTCTTCTCGAGGGCGCTCGACTGGTTGGCCGTCTGCATCTCCTGCTCGTAGTCGAGGGCGACGTAGCAGAGCTTCTCCTTGATGTCGCGGACGATTTCTCGCTCGGCGGTGGTGGTGAAGCTGTAGCCGCGCTCCGTGAGGATCTTGGTCAGGTAGTCGGTCAGGTCGCGGCCGGCCAGGTCGAGGCGCAGGATGGCGTGCGGCAGGGCGTAGCCTTCGTAGATGGGCACGGTGTGCGTGACGCCGTCGCCGCTGTCGAGCACGATGCCCGTGGTACGGCCGGAGGCGTACAGCGACAGGACGGCCTGGATGGACACGTAGAAGGCGGGCGTGTTGAATGTCTCGAACATGATCTGCGTCATCTTCTCGCGGTTGGCCTTTGGATTGAGCGGCGCCTCGGTGAGCAGGACGGGATGCTCCTCGGGGGCGACACGCAGCTCATTCTATGGAAATAAACAGAGGCACATATGCCGGTGAGATGGGACAATATTGTGATTGGCGCATGCGCCCATGAGGCGCAGCAGCAGCAGCAGCAGCAGCAGCAGTTGCACTTACGTAGAAGGTGTGGTGCCAGATCTTCTCCATGTCGTCCCAGTTGGTGACGATGCCGTGCTCGATGGGGTATTTCAGCGTAAGGATACCACGCTTCGACTGGGCCTCGTCGCCCACATACGAGTCCTTCTGGCCCATGCCGACCATCACGCCCTTGTGGCGCGGACGGCCCACGATGGACGGGAAGACGGCGCGCGGAGCATCGTCGCCCGCGAAGCCGGCCTTGCACATGCCGGAGCCATTGTCGATAACAAGCTATTTGTGCGCGAATAAACAGACAAGCAGACAAGCGGGCAGACAAACAAACAAACAAACATCAGTCTACGCTGGGACAAGTCGCGTGCGGAGCTTTCGAGCCGTGCCGCCACGGATCTCGCGCGGCTATGTCGTGGCGGGCCGCAGCATCTGTCCTGCTGGGCAGATGACGGCCGCCAGCGACGCCACAGAGCAGCGCTCCGACCGCACACTTACCGCGGCTACTTCGTCTTCCATGATGATGAGGCGGAGGCGGAGGAGTAGATGGAGTAAGAAATGTTACGTGGGTATGCACACACAGGCGTGCTGGTTAAGAAACAAGCACAGATGAAAATGAAGAGAAGTAGACGCGAACCAATGCGGCGGCTAGCAATACGAGATGAAGAAAGAGAGTAGAGAGAGAAGCAGATAGAAGCAGAGAGAGAGAGAGAGAGCAACAAGTGGATTGGGATGGGGAGGCAGACCAAAGGCAAGGATGGTGGCGCTTTTAAAGCCACACCACGCACACACGCACACCACATGTGTGCCGCGCTCATTCGATGACACACACACACACACACAGGCCGACAGACGACGTAATTCCTTCGACGACCCTCGACGGCCATGGCTGTGTGGCTGGATGCCGCCACCTCTTCATTAACCACATGCTCGCCCGTTCGGGATCGTTTCACCTTGTCCGTCCCAGACGCTACCAGCGTATCTGCTCGCTTCTATCGCCGCATTCAAGGACGCCGCGATGGAAGCGGCAGCGACAATCGATGGGCCACGTGCCCGTCCACCAGCGACGCCGGCCGCGGCTATTCTTGGCGTGTAAGGTTGGCGCCAGCAAGCCGCACGGTTTCCTGCTTCTTACGCCGGCACAGCTTGGCTGGCAAATGGTGTGTGCGGATGTGTGTGTGTGTGTGTGTGTGTGTACGTGCGTGCGTGCGTGCGTGTGCGCGAGAGCGTGTGGGTGGGCGGACGATGTGCCGCTTAACGGATCTCGGCACATCCCCTGTCATCCATCGCTCATGTGCTCGGCCAATCATCACGCGCCGTATCATGGCCATGTTGGCGCTGGCTACCGAGTGTCGTGGCTGCTGCTGCTGCTGTTGCTGCTGCTTCGTTGTATTGCTGCATGGGCAGTGCCCGCTTGTATTGGGACAGACGCTACAGCCAGTGGCACTAGGATCGTCGAGGCCGGCGTACTTGCTGCCTGGCTTTCTCCGAGTGTTTCCCGCCACAGGCTCGATGGCATGTTTGGCCGTGGCGCCATCGACGGCCGTTGAAGTCATCGCAATGGCGCTGCTGCACGCGTGACGTCCGTTGATCTGTCTTGTGACCAGTGCGCGATGCCTACATGGCTGCTATCGCTGGCGATAACGGCCATCGTGATGCATGCTCTTTCAGCTGCATTCATGCCTACACGGCTGAACAGTCATATAAAGCAGTATCACTCTAAAGGAAGCCGCCAATGTACAATGATACAACATATACACTGGATGTGTGCCACTACTCTGCCTGTATTGCTCATGAGCCGTGGATGCTGCACAGCAGATCGTGCACCAATGTGGCATGTCTGTGTTTATTTGGCGGCTCTTTCTGGTCAGCATCTCCAGCTGCGATTTACCCATCGGATGCCATGACGACATAATAACAAGGTCATTCAATGGAGATGCAGGCACATCGGGCAGCAGCGCTATGTTTCAAAAGGCTCCGTTTGGCCTGCAGAGAATGGCTGGCCCTGGCCGGTGGTTGCTTGGTCATGGCTGGCGCATCTCGCGGCAAGTGCAGCTTCCAGCCTCTGCGACAGCAGCACGCGGCAATCTGCATCCACTGGACGCTTGCCTGCTTGCTGGCCGCGGTAGTGCCGGAGGATGGGCAGCATTCGCTCGTGCGCTGCAGCGTAGATTGGCTGGCATCATCCAAGTTGAGCGACGAAGCGGAGTCACTAGAGCGTGCGGTTTTCATATATGGCGACGGCGATGGCCTTTTTGGATTAGGCTTGACTGGCACAAACCGGTGTGTCTTCCCGCCATCGCGCATCTCTCGCTTGTCCTCACCTTGTTCGCGCTTCTTTCTTCCTCTATTATTCATTCCATCATTCATTCTATCATTCATTCATTTGTTAGCTCGCTCGCTCGCTCGCTAGTTGATTTCTACTGCATTGCTACATACGCTGCCAGCCGGCCTGGTCCATCACATCCTATCGCCACCTTGCCTATCCGTATACGCGTTCCATCTCTGTTACCGGGGCAGTTTCCGAATTGGCAGGCTGACTGGCCATTTCAAACACTGGTTGTGTCTGTTTCATTGCTCTCCAGCCTCGGCTCCGGCTCAAGCATTGTTATTGCTACATCGCATTCCATCGCGCGCTTTCTCTCTCTCCTGCAGCATCTACGTTGACCGTCGAGCACTGTATCCTTGTGCCTTCCACGCTCGCATCGTTTGTGTGTTTCCCGCTGTGTATCTCGCGCTCCTTCATTGCAGTGTTGCACCGCGTGCCACTGCCGCCAGACCGTGCTTCATTGTCAC